GGGCCCAGCACCCTGCCCGGGCCGCTGGAGCTCCCTCAGGCCTGGGCAGTAACTGCTGCCTGCAGTGACCCTGCCGGCGGCAGCTGCTGGGCCCGGGTTTGTGGCATTAATCTCTCCAGTAATTACAAACTTTCTTTTTCTCATTATGGTGTGGCAGGGGCAAAAGGGATTTTCAGGTGTTTGGAGGCACTACTGTGGGATTTTGTAGGTGCTGGGCGGCACTGCTGTCCAGCCTTACCAATCCCGTCTGGCCTTGCTGACATTGGAAACCAACAAGATGTTAAACACAGGTTTCAGAAATTGACAAATGTCTCAGTGTAAATATACGATGAATAAGCAGGCTGCTACGGGTGGCTGTAAAGGAAATGAGAGACAGTCTGACAATTCTCAGATTAGTTTGACACATTTTTGACACTTCTAAGCGTAGTGGGATGTGAAGAGTAAACCTAGAGGCATTTTTCTGCAAAAGCAGATTTAGAGTGGTGTAGTGAAAGATGGAAGGCAGCGTTTCTTCAAAGAGCTTTCTTCGTGAGGGTAATTCAGGTAGGAGTTGAGCTAGAAACACTCATTCGGTGTTTGTAACACTTGAACCAATTCACATTAAAACCCCGGTGTTGTGTGGTCTGGTTAGGAAGAAAAGGAAGGGGAAAATGGCCTGAGAGTATAAACCCGGCACCTGAGCTAGAGTAACGTCACGGGGAGATGTCACTTCTTTTAAAGGAAGGATTCTTGTGATTCACTTTTCTAGGTGGCTTAATGAAGCCAAACCTTATCAGTTTCATTCTGAACCTGCTTGCCAGCCAGAGGAACAATGGACGGGCTTTAATACCAGAGTAAATCTCCAATATCCTGGATTTAGGCTGTTGTAACTCGTAGCAGCGTTTGATCTTCTGCACATAGGATCAGTAGATGCAGGATGCTAAATACTAACTAAATGCTTTAAAATACGGGGATGCAAAAACGGGTGGGTTATGTCTCCATAATTTGACTTGGACCATAATTGCGTATCTCAGTTGATGATGGTGCTGAGGTCAGTGAAAGCCTGTACTGAATCAATTAATTTGTGATGGCTGAAATTTCCTCCAGCTTGGCCTTTGGATTTCATTCAGAACTTTCTTTAAAGAAACAACAGTGTGTTGATTTGTTGCATGCTTTATTTGAAGCGTTCTACAAACCTGGAACCAAGTCTTGGATTTTTTTTGTTTGCCTAAAACTCCAGCTGACTTCAGTGGGAGCATTACCTAAGGAGTGCAGTGTGAGCTTTTTATGTGGTTAAACAGAAAATTGATATGGGTGTGGTTATACCACTTGTTTTTAATATAAATAGCACTGTGCTTGGTAGGCAGAGAGGTGGGCGTTATAGTAATGGCATTTAGAACAGTTTTAATAAACATATAGTTTGGGATTAGGTTGAGTGTTAATTGCTGTTAGCATATGCAGTTCATTATTAGCAGGTGTGTATTTACTGGGGAGGTGAAAGAGGCGTTGGCCATCACACAGAGCTCGCTGTGATGGCTGCTGCAGATACAAAGGCTCTGTCTTCCCATCTTCCTGTGTCCATCCCTAGTTGTCGCATTGTTTTCTTACTGAATCATGCCTGAGATTTGGCCTTTAACGTCCAAGTCAGTGATCAGTATGTTGTGAAAGAGGAAACTAAGTGATTCTTAGCCTTATGGTGGTAATCATGTGCATTTAAAGGGTAGTGGCTAAATTTGTGGAATTAAAATGGAAGTCTAATGATGAACTATTCCTATTAAATAGAAATAAAATGTAGATTTAGAAAAGGCTGCCCATGACTCTATTAATATATTTCAGATTGATTGATAAGGGTTTTAGTTGCACTTTTTTCCCCAGCTGTTAGGAGTGGAATGATGGAGTGTCTTAAAAGCTACGTGATGTGTAAGGCAAGTGACAGTATCACTTAAACAAGCTAAGCTTGTGTGATTTATTTATCTTCCTTATTTTTTTAAGGCTGCGTAGGACACAGGGAAATGTGACTCTTGTTGTTCCTTAGATCTAATCTGATTTCTAATTTTAGTTTAATGAAATTTTAATTTAATTTTATTCTGTACAAATAGAATGGAAAAGATATAACACAGTGGAAATGCTGTCTGAAACATGTATGATTAATCAATTGTGTTTGCTTCTTCTAGGGAAAATCCAGAACGTACCTTTGATTTGGTACTGAAAGTAAAATGCCAAGCATCTGAAAATGAAGGTAATATACCATGCCTACTGATGTTTATTTATAGAAATGAGAGGTGGAAGGAAAACAGTTCTCATCCTCATCTACTGTCATCTTATGTTTTGAAAGGCTGTTGAGTTGGGATTGTATTAGAAAGTGACTATAGTTATTTTATTGCCTTTTAAGATCTATTAATGTGTTAATTCATAGTTGGCATGGGGTTTTATTGTTATACTTTCATTTTGGCTATTGTAAAAATTTTTTTGTTCCAAAATAAATACTTGCAAGGCTTGGAATTGAAATGCATCTTGTACAGTTCTTAACTAGAAATGTTGGTTTTGTATAACATTTCATTTTAGCAGGACAATTGACTTCTGTTTATCAGTGGAATGTTAATTTTGATCAGTGTGGTAGGGAGAAAGTAAGTTCTTTTCTGAACAACAGAAAGAGGCTTTCTTTCTAGGTCCTGTTTGGCAGCTGCTTTGGTTTGATACATGATACAAAAGCAATGAGTGCTGACTTGAGCTTGTATTAACCATCAGTTTCGCGTCTCTATAAACACATGGTAAAAGAAGTGTAGTAGTGCAGGAGTTATCTGAGAGAGGCTTTTATCCTCTTGGATAAAAAGAAGATGGGATTTCCAGTGCTGAAATTAAAGTGACTTCCAGAACGTCCGTTGTGGGAACTCAGTTCGTGTTCTCATCCAAGGCTGTTTGCCTTATAAAAACACAGCAAGAAAAGCTGTCTTGTTGAGGTTGTGTTGTAGTCATGTCAGTCTGTGACAGCTGTGTCTTAATCACAATTGTAAAAACAATAAACTACATCTTAAAATGGAGTCTATTGCTTATCCTACTGTGCTAATGGATGCTGTTTCCAGAGTTTACTACTCTAACAAGTTAGGTGCCTGTAGAAATTTATAGCCCCAAACTATTGCTTTCTTTTTTCCATTTCAGCCAACATTTGTGTTAGCGGTATCATGGGTGCTTGCCTAATATATTTATAAACCCCATTTTTGTTGAAGCTGAACAACTGTAGTTCTTGATGTCTTTTCCTGACAATCCAACAGATTTTCCTGTATGTGTTGTATTATACATTATCCATTATTGATACCTTAAGTTCCTCTGTTTTTTCTTCTCTTTTCTTTTCTTTTTTTTCCTTTTCCATAAGAATGTTCATTTAGTTGTGGAATGACATCTTGGTCCTGGTGCAGTCTTTGAATATTTTCACTTTTTTTTGAGACCAGACAGCTTCCCTTGGTTTATTGCCTGCTTTTTTGATTTGCTGTTGGTACAGTCATGGTTTGGGAAATCAGGTGGGCTTTCCTCACTCTCTGATCAATGTTGTGGTTTGTATCATCACACATTTTGTCTTCTGTTCTCTCCCTTTTGCAGTTTTTACCTTAGTAATTTCATTGGTGATGTCTGTGAACCCTGCTTAGCTACTTGACTTCTGATCTGCTCCCCCATGCACCATGCATTTAGTCTCTGCCTTCACGTGACATCCCTTCCTGGGGGCCCGTTCACATCTTGGCTTAGGCCCAGCTTCAACCTGCAGATTTTATTCCCTTTCTTCCTTTCCCTCCTGAGAGCTAGACTGTTGATAATCCTTTTAGGCCTTCATCTTGAAATCTTGAAAAATGTGGGTTTTTATCTTCTGTGATCAGAACATGGATTTGTATCCTTTTAGTTCCTTTTATCTCCCTTTTGACTTCTGATTTTTGTTTTGCGCCTTTCTGCCTCTGCTGACATAAGAAACCACTTCTTGTGACCTGCAGCTCTGTGAATGACCCCCTATGCCTAAATTCTGGTCCTAGTCACTTCCCCTGCCTCCCTCACTGGGCACTTTGTGCTGTGCATCAGTTGTCCTCTGTGGAGAGCCACTTCTTTAAGAAAACCTTGTATCTCCTTGGACTGTGACCTGAGTTAATGTGAAGGCTGTGTTTGTGACTGTGCTCAGTTGCTGTTTGTCTATAGGGTGGCCAAAGGCAGAGGGATCTTATACCGGTAGCGTTGGAGTCTGGTGTGTGACTGACAAGGGGTTTAGGGGTGTTTCAGCTGGTCCACAGGTTGTATTGATCCTTGCATGAGTCTGCAGATCAGCACAAAAGTACAGTCCCCTTTTACCAAGCAAATTGTGCTTGCTGAATATTCCTGCTACCATCCGCCTGTACTTGGTCACCTATCTGGGATTCATTTTAATTTCTTTCTATTACATCTAAATCATATAACAAACTTGGTCCAGTGAGGGCTTGACATCATATATACATATGGTATTATCAACACAGCGATGTATCAAATTAATATATCTGAATGTTAAAGTTATTTAAAGGAAATTCATAAGTGACAAAAGTGCATTGTCTTCACCGCCACTTAGAAATGGAGCACAAGGCTTGTCATGCTAAACAGGGAGCTTTCAAGGTTGGTTTATTATAAGGCCTAACAAATTTGACAGTTACCCTGTATTGTAGGTCTTGCCTTTAAATAGATTTTCATGCTAGGATAATCTTTTGAATATGTCATAGTTGAAAACGTGATCCATTCACCTGTTCCTTTGCTCATGCCTCTTTCTTTCTTATGAAAGAGATTTGTGTTTAAATAGGGCTTTCTCCCTCGCATCCCATCTGCTCCTTGTGCTTGATCCTGAAGCTGTGTCAGGGCTGAATTTGTGACATCACCGTCACCAGTGTTGCCGTGGAAGTATCACAGCCACAAAATTATGATCTCCCTGCATGACTGAGCAGCAGGAGAAGCTGACTTAGGAGAGAGGAAGACCTTAATGTGACCCATGTAGCTTTAAGCTTTTTCTTTTCAAGTTTTGCTGTAGTGTGTATTCTCCTGCATTTTAATTTCCCCATGCCAGCGTGTAACTGTTCTAACAAATAAAAATAGAGGTAGCCCTACTCCATGTGTAGCTATTAAGAAGATGTTTTTACAAGGACACTACATGCCTGCAACAGTGAGACAGGATAATAGTAATAGTTATTTTTATGAATTATTTTTAGATAACTTCATAATTATAGTATAGCTCTCAAGGTACATTAATTTTTCTGATCTGACTATGTCTGGGGGCTCTTCCAGCTATAAAGGATCATATATACATGAAATGCAGCAAGGTTTATATGTACCATGAAATTTCTTCTTTAATCATTCCACTAATTATTTCCATTGTTTTCTACTCAGTGTAAGCACTTAAGAGGTTTCATGTAGGTTAATATAAAGTTACCACTTTGTGTATGGAAGGGAGCTCCTGAACTGGTTAATGGCGCAGTTGTGCTAGCATATCTTTAGTTATAGCTGGATCAAAATTTTGTTTTCCCATTCAATGCCTATTTTTTGAGATTTAAAAGTAGCTTGCATACTTGAATATTTATTTCTTAATACTGTGTTTTTGACTGGTTGTTGTTTTGGGCTGCTCACTCTGTGTTTTAAACTACAGGAGTGCACAGTAGCATTGCTGTAATGGTGATCTTCTTACTCTTTCCTCGTTTTTGGGACAGGAGGAAAGGAAGGTACACTTTATGTAAATATTCTTATAATTGAGCAGTCCATTGAACTAATAGAATGAATTCTAACATTTTTTGCTGTTGGTGCCAAGTTTATTCTTCACTTGGGTTGTGTTAGGAAAACTAAATCTTATATTTATTAGTGGGGCTTAATGTCTACTCTTGGCACAAGCCAGGATATGGTTTCCTCAGCAATTAATGTATTGCTTACAGTATTTTCAGAGTAAATTATGCTTTTGATATTAAACTACAGCTAAGACTTTACCCTGAAAGTTGTATTTCAGCTGTATTTATTTAGACAGTTGAAGCATATATTCCAAAGAGGAGGAAAAGGCCTTTAGGACTGAAATCAGATTGTAGCCTATGCCATAAGTGCCAGTCCTTTGCAGCGTGGTCAAGATGGCGAGCGCCAATTAACATGGGATGCCAAAACTGGTAACTAGTTAGTGTGACAACCTTTTAATAGGAATATTCATAATCTGATTCTCGCAAAACTTCAGGATGAATTAACTTCTGTTCCCCAGAGCTTGCTAAGTGACTGGGAGATGAGTGCTAAGCTATTCTAACAGCCCAATATTTGTTAATGGTGAATTTGGCTTGCAGTGTCAGTAGCACCTTGTAGGAAAAGGTTTTACATGCTTCCAAGGCAGTAGCAGATTTTCATAATTTTTTCCTGTGTCACTCCTTTATGAACCAGCAAACAAAAGAAATAGCAAAAATGTGTACCCATTTTAACATCATCAGCTGGCCTTCTGTATTACATTTTCACTTACGGACCCGGAGGACAACCTGATAACAGATATTAATATTACTGAAACTGTTGTGTTATTTATAAGGACATGCATTGCTCTTCAGTTTTAGGGTAAAAAGATGCAGGTTTTTTGTGCTTGGGACTGAATTGCCCTTTCTACGTCTCAGGAGTGCTGCAGTGTTATGGTTGTCCTGAGTGCAGTCTTACATGAGGCTATGGGTTCAAGATTGTGTGGCAGATGTCCGAAATAATAGTGCCAGTATAATCTTCGTGAAGAGTGTATATTATCTATGTATCTATACACAAACATATACAGTATGTGCATACACACATACACATCTGAACTTTAGATTTTGTTTAATGTGCAAAGAGAAAGTTGATAGTTTAACTTATTCTGTAAACTGTACTTCCTGTATTGATTTTATTAAAACTGGATTGCAGAGGCCAGAGATAAAAGGCAATGCAAGTACAGCAGCTAGCAGTAGAAAGGCAGGATGCAACAACTTCTGCGAGCATAAGGTCTTCAGCATTGCTGTCCATGGTTTACCAAGAAGAAGATGACTCAGACTGGTTTCAGTTCGTGTGGTTAAGAGTTCTTTTTGCTGCACCTTCATCTTCTTTGATTTTAACATACATAAAAGCAACAAAAAGGCTCCACGAAGCATGCAGCATCCAGGAAATTCAGCCTCTGAATGTATTGGTTTGGGTCTAGGACTGCTTTAGTCCTGACTGTTTGAGTTTTATTGAAAACTCCATTGAAATAGCATTTAATTTTCTGTT